GCGAGATTCTAAGCACTAGGCGAATTTTAAGCATTCGGTTCCAAGAAAAAGAATGTGTGAATTCGTGAAGCTGCAGATTCAGAAGCGCCAATTTTCGGGTATTACTCTAATGATACACGTGTTAGGGATTCGTCTGTAGGTAGGGGAAGGGGCGATTCCAACATATCTTCCAGACATTTGGCGGGGCGTGACAACACAGAGAGAGAGAGAGGGATTGTGGCGAGCAAGAAGGTGCCAAAGTTCGGGATCCATGACTGGCTATCCACAAAGACACTGAGATCCCACGAACTTCATCCTGGATCCCCGCGGAGGTATCATCAACCAAAGCTTCCGTTGGCTTATTTGGTGCTCTGCACTTAGACGAGTTTAAGCTTCTGCCTCCTTTAAATACTTAAACAATCCCCGTTTTACTGACTCCACCTGTACCCTCAACTGATCTTAAAATCTTGCAGACCAAATAAATTTAGCAACGCATACTAGCGTAGCTCTCTTTACCATGCTCAACAAAATCGCACGCTGTGGTTACTTCGCATATTGAATGCCTTTTAGTGAGAAGGCAGTTGGTAGGTCTGATCCAGTATACCTTACAAAGGCTTGTGTATGGCTGCAGTTTCTACTCAATGCTCCTAGCATGGTTGCTTTTGTATTTTCCACAAACGATGTTACTGCGCGCACGAGTTCCATGTCCTGAGATGATGAGCCTTACAATCGATTCATGGCAGACTGAAACCAGAGAGATTACGGTAGTTCGACCGTCGATTCCGGCGATGTCCACCGTGTGCTGCACTGAGAGTTGAGGCAGACACGGTGACTGGCGCGTAAATTAGGTTTTGGTGATCGTGGGCGTGTGCAGCGCCTACCGCACTCTCTCCTCCCCACTCCCCGCCTGGACCTGGTGTCAAGACAGAGTCAAGATGACCGGAGGCGGTGGAGGGCGCAGGTGACTGGAACGCCCGGACCTGGACATAGGCGTGCCCCAACACTTCACAACCTACACTTGATCAGGATTTTTCACCACCAACAAAAACACCCTAAAGGGGTCAACATCATTACGTTGGGTAGGGATAGGACTCAGTACCTCACACTCTGGTGGCCGCTCGAGTACCCACGTCTCCCGGTAATTACATGTTCTCCGACTGCTGACTGGTTCTCGAGTCAGTCACGGAGACATATCACTAACAAAACGGTATACACCTAATAATGAATACCTGGCCACTTAGCTGCTGGTGGTGGCGCCCATAGTGGAGTTATTAGTGCTTGTGGTAGAGGAGCTTTCGGATGTTGGATACGGGTTGCTCGTGATGATACTGAGGTCAATACCCCTCTCTTTTATGTGCAAAGAGAATCACCAATGACTGAGCGTGGCATTGCATTGCATGTCTGTTAGAAATCATAACCGGTGAACCGGAGTTGGGAAAATCAAAAACGGCACGACAGGCTCGAGGCGTTAATGTGACTGGCAAAACAATAAACATTCTCTTCTGCTCTCGCGGGTAGCATCTTCACGCGTACGAATTAAATTCACACAATCACGCCTACTTAAACGACGATGAGTAGGCATTTCGTATATGTTAGAATCCCTATCTAAATCACCCTGCGTAGCTCAGACGCGCACGATGGCAGGCTCGGCTTCAGTGCGATCCACAATTTGCGAAGAAAGAGTGCTTCCAAAATCCCCGAAGTAGGCCACCAGTTAAACTTCCGCTGTTCGATTATGGTCATGTGGGATGCCAGCGTTCCTGTTGTCAGACCATTTCAATTTGGTTTTCATATTTCACTTTTTATTGTCAGGAGTTTCCTGGCCCGCATAGTTTGCTTTAGTAAGAAAATCGTTACCTACTGTTATGATGAACTATAACAAGATGCACCTGTTTCAGTGAATAAGAGCTCAGTCACAGGACGTAAGCGAATTTAACAATTTGTGGACAAGTATGAAAACTCCCAAAAAATCCTCCCTTTTAATGCTGTTGCTTTTCCATTATCCTACTAC